CTGGGAAGTAGGTTCTATTTTCAAAGACTTTCAGTCTAGGATAAAGGTGAATAAGCAGTGTAACAACAGATACATGGTGATCTGATTGGCTTTGCTGTGAATGAAGATTCAGTGCAGGAAATGGCTCTTCAGAGGTGAAACATCAAATTTTAATCCTGTGGAATATATATTAGAAGAGGAAGAAGTGATTGGTTGTCATGAGGAAATAGACAGCAGTCACTAATATTGGCCTGATATTCTAAAAAAAGCTTTCATTGGCAATATAAAATCCTTTGAAATATAATTTGCTTGAAAGTTTTACAAGACTTTGACCCAAACACTCCAAGAAATATAATCAATAATAAACATATAATCTGTTGGCAGGATTTCACACAGATCAAATCATCATCTACTTTGTCCATTGCCTTTCCTATTTCTTGCCTAGTTTCATTATCGAAGATTGGTTCCAATCCACTGTTAACCAGCACATTGATGTTTCTTTCTGTAGTGTATATGATGCTGATAGTAAAAGCAACTTGCTTACCTTACTTTTGAAGCCATGTTGAGAAATATCTCCAAATTTAACACTACATGTATAAAAAAAAATTTTTTTTTGAAAAAGGCATAAGAGATAGCCTAATTTTAGCCACCGCAAAATTCTAAATTCTAGAAGGACATCCGAAATATCTGAAGAGTGCTGCAGTTCTAAATTTTGAGGTGCAGGGTAATGGGGTGAATGAATAAGACAAGAAAAAAATATATAACAAGTAACAATATAGATGAAAAGCCATTAAGCTTCGTGACTCACTTTTTACCGTCCCTGAACCCCATATCATCTAATTTTACCATAGTCTCATTTCTAAATGGTTTTAGGGGCGCCTGGGTGGCGCAGTCGGTTAAGCGTCCGACTTCAGCCAGGTCACGATCTCGCGGTCCGTGAGTTCGAGCCCCGCGTCAGGCTCTGGGCTGATGGCTCAGAGCCTGGAGCCTGTTTCCCATTCTGTGTCTCCCTCTCTCTCTGCCCCTCCCCCGTTCATGCTCTGTCTCTCTCTGTCCCAAAAATAAATAAATGTTGAAAAAAAAAATTTAAATGGTTTTATATGTTTTAAGTCTATCTACTTTTGTGTACATGCATGTGTGTTTGTGAAGACTAAGGGAATTAGCAATGTATCATGCTTTTTTCCCCCTTTTGTTAGACCTCCCTGATTAGTTCTAGGTTTTTCAAAAGGAAAGAAAATTACTGTTGCAAATTCACGTCAAAACAAGAACCATTAGCTTGCTCTCTGTCCTTTTCAGTACTTTCTATTTAACTTCCACACTCTTTTATCTTTTTTTTTGAAAGACACATTAAAATATTTTGCTGTAAAAGTTTGACAGGGACATATTGTGCCTTTAAGATAAATGTTTTCAATTCATAGACATTTTTAAAGGTAACATTTAGTAACCTATACCTCATTAAAATTGTGTCATAAGGTCTGATAAACTTTGTTTCCAAAGGTAGTTAACTCTTATCCAGGCCTAGCTTGGACCTTGCTATAGCCAGTCTCAAAAACACATGATATGCATGAAAAAATATTTGACATGGTATGAAGATACACTTATTTTTCAATTCAGGATATAAATGAGATGTTAGAAATATTGTGAAAATAACCAGGAAAGTACTAGATTTGTACTATGGAAATACCAGTGAGAAGTTTTAAAATAAAAAAATAACCACGTTTCCAAAATAGTTTCAGAAATCCAACATGGCCTGTACATTGTCTTCTCATCCCATTCACTAATGCATTAGAATTTCTTGCAAGTTTTATTTTATTTTGAATCCTGTGGAAAAAACCACTTTAGAGTTAGAAGGACCTTAGCTATCATTTGACGAAATCCTTCATTTTATAGATTAGAATGATAGCTTCACAAATCGCCGTTTTTTCCTCCTAAGGTGATGTGTGTCTGTGGTATAAAGATGATGAAAGTTTTAAAATTGCTGACCTAGGGCTGAACTGGTGATGGTTGTTTTCTGGTTAGTATCATTTTAAAGCTACTTGTCCAATAAAAGACACAGCATATTTTTGTTTTGTTTTTTGCCTAGACAATTTGTTACTCTCTTTACTTGGCTGTAATAATAATCACATACAATTTTTTATTTTAGTCATTTTTCACCTAACAGATTTTGATGAGCACATTTCACATCTTTATATCATTATAAGCTTTTCTTTATTTTTTTAATTTCTATTTTAGAAAGCATGAGTGGGGATGGGGAGGGCAGAGGGAGAGAGAGAATCTCAAGGAGGCTCTATGCTCAGCACTAAGTCTGAATACAGACCTCGATCCCACAACCCTGGGATCATGACCTGAGTTGAAATAGAGTCAGATGCTCAACTGACTGAACCATGCAGGCACCCCTGAAGTTTTCTTTTTTAATAAAAATGTTTTAGGGGCACCTGGGTGGCTCAGTCGATTGAGCATCCACCTTCGGCTCAGGCCAAGATCTTGCAGTCTATAAGTTTGAACCCCACATCAGGCTCTGTGCTGACAGCTCAGAGAGTGGAGCCTGCTTCAGATTCTGTGTCTCCTTCTCTCTCTGCCCCTCTCCACTCACACTCTGTCTTTCTCTCTCTCAAAAATAAATAAACATTAAAAAAAAATTTTAATGTTTTATAGGCATTATGAAAGTAATAGAAATATGCATTGAAGAAAATCAGGCTACTTAGCCAATTAACCACCAAGGCTGTCTAGCGCAGGGGAGCTCTCAGTGGGAAAGGACTTGGGCTCCACTCGAAGCTCCTCTGCATTGACTGGACTCCCCATTAGAAAGAATGTAATACCTTTGCAGGTAGAAATCTACGTAGGAAAATACTTTTCCTTGTATTAATTTCAGCCAACTCAAAAATGGACCCAGCTTACCAATATTAATTACCAGTTAGGCACTCACCTTCCCAGACCTTTGAAAAATATATTTAGGTGTAATATTTCAGTTATTACTTTAGAGTAATTGAAGAACTTGGCAAAAACCTATTAAAACTATAATGGTATAAAAATGTAGAGTCTCTCCTACTCTCCCTTACCAGTAAACCTTCACCCTGTGTCTCAAGTGTCTATCCTATAGGCAGATACTTTCATCAGAGCTTATTGAATCATTTCTTTAATGACCATGTTTCTAAAGGAGTTTTTTATTTTCCATGTCTTGTTTGGTCAAGTTGAGGTGCTATCAACAGAGTGACTAATAGACTAGACAGTTAGACATGAGCTGGAGGCCAGGCCTGTGAGAAATAGGTTTTACATTAGAAGACCCATGGGCACGGCATCCTGATTTTGTGGCTTCTAAGACCCCTCAACATCCTGGCCTTGTGCTTTCCAAGACCCAGAGCCTAACAGATGAAGAGCCACAGATGCAAAATAAATGTTCTTCCCTTCCACCTCTGCCCCAACATAACCCGAAGACTTAGTATAATGCATTTGCATTGCAGTTTTAGACCCCTCAGTGGGGGAAGGCAGCCATGACGGTTCTGGTACAAACCTTGTAGGGTCAAAACCTTTCCCTCCCACCCTGTAGATGGAGTCCTTCAAATGACTGGAAGCAACCTCCATTAGAGACCACCTGGTCTGTGACCCAAGACCCCACTCATGTAAAAGGAAAAGACTTCTGTAGCTTCAGGGCTGTTGCCCCCTCTGGGCCTGCCCAGTCTCCCTTCTCCAATGTAGTGTCCTTAATAACCTGCTTTGTGCTTGGTTCTTTCGTTCTGTCTTTATTGGAACACGGATCCTCCCATAAATCCCTTGTGGGGAATCCAGGAACTGAGACCTCCATTCTCACAATGCAGATTCTCCCACAGGTAACATAACTGCCCCCTCCTCCCAACTGTCTCTTCTGTTATTAATCTGATAAGATCCCAACAACTTTGGTCTATTGAAATCACTTAAAAAAAAAAAGTTGCAGCTGTTGATTGCATACCTATAGTTACCAAGCCTGTTTACATTTTTTTTTTTGCATGTAATGAAGTTTCACTGGGGTCTAAGAGGTATAAAAGCCACATGTGCTTAGTGTACCATATTAAATACAATATTTAAAAAAATTTTTTTAATGTTTATTTATTTCTGAGACAGAGACAGAGCATGAGTGGTTGAGGGCAGAGAGGGAGACACAGAATCCGAAGCAGGCTCCAGTCTCTGAGCTGTCCGCACAGAGCCCAATGCGGAGCTCGAACTCAAAAACCTTGAGATCATGACCTGAGCCGAAGTTGGTCACTCAACTGACAGAGCCACCCAGACACCCCTACAATATTTTTAAAATAATAATTTTATTGTACACAAACCATATTAGCACTAGTGGCCAGTGTAACTACATAAACAATAAATTAATACATAAAATTAAGTCTTCACACATTGAGATTTTTAAACTAAAATTCAGTTTATTAGTGGCATTATATGGCAATTCACATCATAATTTAAATGTTTTAACTACTGATGTTGGAAGTTCATAATTTGCTAGATGAACACATTACCTTTTTTTGGAATGATATAAAATATTGCTAATTTGTGCGATCAGAAGAGGAAGAAAATTCAAGGAATGTTTAGTTGTTTTTTTTTTTTAAGAAAATCCCTATTTACCCTCAAAAAAAATGTTTCCTAGATGTTCCATATTCTCTCCTTAGAAGGTAGATGTTATGCAATGTTAATCACAAAATATTAAAAATTGTAAATAACACTTTACGTTTTCTATGGAAAAGATACCAGATAAGTTTATTGGTTAATATTTTCTTTCATCTTGGTCACACCACTTAAGAATGCAGGGTGTTTTTATTTGTTTGTTTTTCTTTTTTGGTAAGGGGATAAAAGTGAATATAATTAGAGGCAAATTCTATAAAGATGATAATTTTAATTAAACTCTTCTGCTTTTGCAATACTTGGGGTAGAGGAGTAGTTAAAGTTTCCAGTAAAAATGGCAGCCAAAATTATTAGGTAAGTCATATGAAAAATTTTCTATCTGAATCAAATAGACACTCCTTACAGGAATTGAGGTGGTCCTATTTTAGTAGTACCCTTTCACCTGGTTTTTATTTTATTTTATTTTTTTTAATTTTTTTTTCAACGTTTTTTATTTATTTTTGGGACAGAGAGAGACAGAGCATGAACGGGGGAGGGGCAGAGAGAGAGGGAGACACAGAATCAGAAACAGGCTCCAGGCTCTGAGCCATCAGCCCAGAGCCCGACACGGGGCTCGAACTCACGGAGCGCGAGATCGTGACCTGGCTGAAGTCGGACGCTTAACCGACTGCGCCACCCAGGCGCCCCTCACCTGGTTTTTAAATATAATGTTAGAGTGCCAAAACAGATGATAGACGATGACACTGAACAACCTGAGTTCTAGGAGTTTTAGCAAATTTAGTCATTAAATATTTACATGCTGACTATATGCCAGGCAGAGTGAAATTTACTGGCATATGCTATCATGATAAGTAAAAACATTTTTATAGAGAGACTAGAAGGAATGGACAGGGACATATAGATTAGAAAGCCATCTGTCAGGAACGGGGTGACCAGCTGGATGTGGCTGACCCATCTGCTTATCTACCTGGTAAAAGGGTCATATTTAGAGCGATACAATCACAGGTGTTCACAGATGGATAGATGTAGTTTTAAATATTTCAACGTATATAGATAAGTGGATATAGAAAAATAAGCAATAAATTAACATCTATTTTTTTAATTAGAAGATTAGCATCCTAAACTGTGTCAGAACATATTTTTCCTGTTAATTCAAGATTTTAAAAAAATTTTCTTAATTTATTTTTTGAGAGAGAGAGAGAGAGAGAGCAGGGGAAGGGCAGAGAGAGAGGGAGACACAGAATCCAAAGCAGACTCCAGGCTCTGAGCTGTTGGCACACAGCCGGACACGGAGCTCAAACCCATGAACTGCAAGTCATGAGCTGAAGTCAGTTGCTTAACCGACTGAGCCACCCAGGCGACCCAGGAGAGTTTTATTATGCATTAAATACTTGCCATATACAAATTTTGAAGTTTGTCTTTAGGTGCCTTTTTGAAACAGCATCTAGTAAGTCTACTGAAGTGCCTTGAAACAGGAGAATTAGTGGTCTGTAGATCAACACATTATAAGCGAACTACATTCAGTTTCTGTAACACAAATGCTTTATTCAGTTGCTACAACAAACTGGGGATCCTAAAGGTCCCGGGGTAAGGTATGGTTACAACACTCTGGGGCGTGCAGTGTTTTCGCTCACATCGGAACTGGGGTCTGTGTGTGTGCTCAGCAGGAGACCACAATGTCCTCTGCTCACTTCCACACCCACTGAAATCCAGCAGGGAGTAGCTTCCCTCAGCTCCACCCGTTTATTGCCTTTGACAGTTTGCTCTTTCCATGCCAAATACATCTGAGCCAAAATTATCCAAAGGCTGATTTGGGGAGACTGTGGCCCAAAAATCAACTTTATAAAATTTGGTATTTGGTGGTACAATTCAGGGAATTATTTTTATCATGAAGTATCATGGTGAAAAAAATCCTGAAAAAAAAAAAGCATCTTAAAAAATAATTAACATGAGAAAAAACAAAAATCAACCTAATTCCACTACTCCATGACAATCATTTAATGTTGTCATTCATCGTCTTCTGGTCCCTTCCATTTGTATATACCTCCTGTATGCACAACTCGATGGCTAAATTGTTTTAATGAAATTTTAACTATTCATAGAAATGAATGGGTACCGTGTGGTGACGTTTAAATATCATAAAATTATAATTTTGTTAGAATTAGGAATAACTGACTTCTGTAAATTGCCCAATTTTCCTGTCCTCAAGTGAGGTATCACCATTTATTTCTCTATAATTTCTTTTTACAAAAAACTCACAGAATTCTGCTTAGGATTAATTCTAAGTGCTCTTTGTTTTGCAAATGAGATATCTTTCTGTGGTTGTTGTTAAATAGCAAAGAGTTTTTTATGTTAACAAACACACTTTGGGGTGCCTAGGTAGCTCAGTTGATTAAGCAACTGACTCTGACTCTTGATTTCTGCTCAGATCATGATCTCAAGGTTCATAGGATCAAGCCCCAGGTCAGGCTCTGGGCTTCCAATGTGGAGCCTGCTTGGGATTCTCTCTCTCCTTCCCTTCCCCTCCCCTACTTGCTGTCTCTCAAAATAAATAAAATAAAAATAAACTTTAAAAACACATACATACATATATATAAAGGCTTCTGCAAATGTAATGCGGCTGGACAACATATAAAGTTCTCAAATTGTTTGAAACTTTTCAGTTCTTTTTAGGTTCTAGGATGTTTAATCCTATCTTGTATTCTCTGCACAAACTCCCACTTTCAAATAATTATCAGTGGTATGAATTTTCAGGAGAAAGTTAATAATTATGAAAGGAATTTGTAAAAATCCAGAATGGGTGCTGCCCTATCAAAGGCCTTTTCTACAAAAAATGAAATCATCTACTTAAAGAAAGTAACACATCACTATGTCGTGCATGCACTAATAAGCCACCCTGAAGATGAAGTCTATTTATTTTGCATTTGAACACTTCAAAATTTGCATTCATATCTATTAAAATATCTGTATTACTATTAAAGCTTTGATAACCTCCCCCTACAATCTGATCTTGTCAGTGCTTACCACTTTTTTTTTTTTTGCTTTTCTTGTTTTATCACCAAAAGAGTATCTTTATTTGTTCAGTTATTATAATTCCCTAATTTATGCTTACTTTTATTCCTCCTTATTGATATCTTCAATTTCACTTGAATTGATTACTTGATTTCATAGTGGGCTATAGATGAACATGCTTAAAGAGTGTTTTTTCACTGATTATAATAATTTTAGATTCTTAAACTTTTCAGTATGTAATTCCAAAAACTTTAGAATTCTGAAACAGATCTGTAATTGTAATTTATCTTTCATAATCTTTTTTGCATTTTTAATTGAAATATATTTGACAGATAACACTGTACAATTTAAGGTATACAATGTTGATTTTATCGTATTTATATGTTATAATAGGACTGCTATTGTAGCAATAGGTAGCATCTCTATCATGTCACGTAATTATGTTTTTGTTTGTTTGTTTGTTTGTTTGTTTTTCTGGTGGCGGGAATGGAGAGCTAGTTTCCTAACAAGTTTCATCATTGTGATACAATATTGTCTATATTTACTACACTATGCATTATGTCTCCAGGACTTACTTGCAGATTTGCACCCTTGAACAACAGCTCTCACATTCCCTCACCCCCCACACCCAGCCCCTGTTAACAAACAGTTTACTCTCTTTTTAGGAATTTGGCTTTTTTAGATTCCACATATAAGTGATATCATGTAGTACGTGTCTTCCTCTGTCTGACTTATTTCACTTAGCATAATGTCCTCAGGACCCATCCATGTTGTTGTGAATGTGCAGGACTTCCTTCATTTTTATGGCTGAATAATATTTCATTGTGTATATATACCACGTTTTTATCAATTTATCTGTACATGGATATCTTAGCTGTTATGAATAAAGCTGCAATGAACATAGGAGTGAGTATATCTCTTGAAGATCTTGATTTGATTTCCTTGTGTATATACCCAGAAGTGGAATTACTGTATCATAGGGTAGTTCTATTTTTTATTTTTTTGAAGAACATCCATATCGTTTTCCTTAAAGGTGAAATCAACTTAATTCCTACTAAAAGTATACAACAAGGTTTCCCTTTACTCCTCTTCCTTGCCAGAATTTGTTATCTTCTTGATGAAGGCCATTCTAACAGGTGTGAAATGGTATTTCATATTGGTTTTGAATTGGGTTTCCCTGATAATCGGTGATGTTGAGCATCTTTCCGTGGACCTCTTGACCATTGGATGTTGTCTTTGGAAAAATGTTCACTTAGTTCTTCTGCACATTTTTTAATCAGATTGTACATTTTTTTTGTTGTTGTTGGTTTTAGGAATTTTTCTTTATGTATTTTGGATATTAACCCCTTACACAGTATATGGTTTGCAAATATCTTCTCCCATTCTTCAGGTTGCTTTTTCATTTTTTTTTTGGTTGTTTTTTATTTGTGTGTGTGTGCAAAAGCATTTAACTTTAAAATAGTCTACTTCATGGGGCGCCTGGGTGGCACAGTCGGTTAAGCATCCGACTTCAGCCAGGTCACGATCTCGCGGTCCGTGAGTTCGAGCCCCGCGTCGGGCTCTGGGCTGATGGCTCGGAGCCTGGAGCCTGTTTCCAATTCTGTGTCTCCCTCTCTCTCTGCCCCTCCCCCATTCATGCTCTGTCTCTCTCTGTACCAAAAATAAATAAATGTTAAAAAAAAAAATTAAAAAAAATAGTCTACTTCACTAATTTTTGCTTTCTTTTATGTTCTTGGTGTCTTATCCAAAAAATAATTGCCAAAACTGATGTTGAAGAACTTCTTCCCTATGTTTTCTTTAAGGAGATTTGGTCTTATGTCTAAGTCTTTGTTCTATTTTGAGATAAATTTGTGTGTGGTATAAGATAGGGGTCTGGTTTTATTTTTCTGTGTATGTGTATCCAGTTTTCCCAGCATCATTTGTTGAAGCAACTATTTGTTCCTTATTGAATGTTTTTGGTTCCCTGCTCAAACAATATTTTATATGATATAATCATACATATTATATATATGATGATGATGTCATGCCTCCAGCTTTATTCTTCTTTCTCAGGATTGCTTTGATTATTTATAGTCTTTCGTGAGTCCAAATTTTAGAATTGTTTTTCTATTTCTATGAAGAATACCAATGGAATTTGGATAGAGATTGGATCACATCTATAAATGGCTTTGGGTAGTATGAACATTCTTTTTTTTTTTTTTTTTAACTTTGTTTATTTATTTATTTATTTTGATAGGGGTGTGGAGGGGCAGAGAGAGGGAGAGACAGAATCCCAAGCAGGCTTCATGCTGATTTGTTGAAGCAGGCTCTCGTGAACCCTTGATATCATGACCCGATATCAAAATCTAGAGTCCAAAACTTAACCAGCTGAGCCACCCAGACGCCCCTAGGTAGTATGAAAATTCTAACAATATTTTCCAATTTATGAACACAGGATGTCATTCCATTTGTTAATGTCCTCATTGATTTCTTTCAACAAAGTTTTATACTTTTTGTTGCATGGATCTTTCACTTCTTTAATAAGTTTATTCCTAGGTATTTTATTTTGTCAATACTATTGTGAATGGGATAGTTTTCTTTATTTTCAAATGTTTTATTATTATATAAAAATGCAACTGATTTTTGTATGTTGATTTTTATATCCTGCAATAATACCGAATTGTTAATTAGTTACAAAGCTTTTTAGTTGAGTCTTTGGGATTTCCTATATGCAAGATCATATCCACAAACAAAGTCACTTTGACTTGTTGCTTTTTGATGTGAATGCCTATGTGTATGTGTGCGCACGTGTGCACCTGATTGCTCTGTCTAGGACTTCCGGGACATGTTGAATATGAATGGTGAGAATGTGCATTCTTGGCTTGTTCCTGATCTTAGAGGAATTTTTTTAATGTTTCAACACTAGCTATAATTTGGGCTCTTGGTTTGTTGTAAATGGCTTTTATATGCTGAGGTATGTTCTTTGTATACCCAATCTGTAAAAGGTGTTTACTAATGAAAGATTATTGTATTTTGTCAAAATGGTTTTTCTGCATTTACTGGGGTGATCCGGTGACTTTTTCCTTCTATTAATGTGGTGTATCACATTTATTGATTTTCATGTGAT